GCTGGAAATTGAAAAAGATAACAATACTTACACCAAGACATGGTAGAAGAAGAAGAAAAGAAGAATAAAAATAAGAAGACCTTTATTTATATCTGTACTATAATACACTATAGTTTCATAACTTGTTCATAAATAACATGACAATAGACAACAGATAATATAGTAACCAGACAAGCAAATAAACAAAGAAATAAGTATATAATAAAATACTGGACTTTTATAATAAAAATAATTACTGTTCTACAATAAAGAATATTTACTGCAACTGGCAGTGATACATATACAGAATATTTATATAAACAAGCAGTAGAAATGCAGAAGCTTGCACATTCAAGAATCTATAATACTTCATCAATGACAGAGAAGCTATAATAATAATATATGAAAAACCACTTCAGTAGCTCTATATCTCAGAGTCTGAGATTTCTGAAAGAGAAGATAGTATTACAAATATAGATCTAGACTAACCAAGCATCAGATAATATCAGATGTTCAGAGACACTCATATGACTTTAACTTTAAACATATAAGAATCACATAATTTGTATAAATTATGGAAACCTCAGCATTTAGTCTTCTAGTTAGAGAACTTCTACATTCTACACACAACTCTCTTCTATTAGTTGCAGGCATCAGATCTACTTAACTCTTTTGTACCCCAAAACCTAGAAAGATCTACATAATCTACAACCAGTTCTTCTAATAATATCTCAATACTACAATACTCAATTAAATTAAATTAAATTACATGTGGTTAAGGACATCTTAATCTTGTATACCTGAAAGTATTACAATTGCTGCAGCATTATAGAGCTTGTTAATATAAAGCAGGCTCAGATAGCAGGGACTTGTGGAATTAAATAACTGGCTGGTCAACAGATGCTGCAGGCTCTGCAGATAGAACTAGAAGACTTTAAACTTCTTCACTAGTTAAATCTTCTTCTTGTTGAATTTAGTATTTAGATTTCTTGTGTTTTTACTTCTCTATCTCATTTATATTGAATATATTCTGGTATTGCTTGTTCATAATCATGGTACTAACTATATCATATTCACAAGTCTTGATAATTTGATTAAAGTCTTTCACAAAGATCTGAGCCTGCTGGCTTTCTATAAGATCTTAATCTTATTCATCTGCCAGTCTAATTACTGTAGGTTGCTAGGTGATTGAAGCATTCAGAATATGATTGAATTACTAGAGCTGCTGTATAGAAGAGTAGGAATTTAAAGTTGAATATCCAGCTGCTGGATAATATAGTCAGACTAGAATAGTACTATTCTAGTAGTCTTGAAGTTATTCTGAATGCTCTGAGTTTTAAAAGCTTCTATACAAACTGCAAGATAAGCTTCTAAGAAATCAATTTTTCAAATAGTATTAAATTCCAGCCATATTCACTATTGAACTAGATCTTCATGTACTTGCTTTAGTACTGCAAAAATACTTATATTTAAAAACTGTAAAAGATATGATAAATATGACAGCATGCAGAGTATAATAATTTCATTATTCTTGCAGATTTAATTAAATTCCAGTGTAAGATACTTGCCATGTCTGTTCAGAATAAGAAGAATAGAACTATTAATATGATATAGCTTTACTGCAGGAATAAATAGTCTAGTAAGCTATTTAATTTCTATCTCATCTGTAGTTCAATTATTAGCACTAATATCTAGTCTCTACTTCTCTGAAAGATCTTCAAACTAATCTTTCTGCAGGCTCTGATCTTTAAGAATGATATATGATGATAGTGCTCAGTCAAGAAATATTCACTATCTTAATTACAGTTATTCATTTATAATTTTCAGGCTGTAGCAGCTTAGCCTAGTCATAGCACTTACTACTAGTAATAATCTTAGTAGTGATGCAGAGTACTATTGCAAAACCAATTTTATTAAAATTGTAGATATTTTTAGATAGAATTCCATGCTTAGTAATTATATCTTTCAAGATCTTAAATCAGTTCTGAATAATTTTTATATTCTTATATTTGATTTGATTATAATTATAGCAGTATAGATAATAGTATTGAAGCTTTATATAGTATTTAATTAGTCTTGAAATTCAGTTCTTGCTAATCCAGAAGAGAGTAGTTGTGAAATGCTGTAAAGAAAGAAGATAATTAGCTGTATTCTTAATTAATACTGGCCAGAAGAGAAATTCTTATTTAGTCTGGTCCAGTATCTATTTAACTAGCTTATTTTCTTTAGCAGAAGATAATTTAGCTGAATTTGTGTATAAATTCATTCATAAAGGCCATTTTTTTAGTCAATTATATAGAGTAGAATGAGGCACCTTAAATAGCCTTGCTGCTTTATAAATTAAGAAAATTTCTTGCTTTTTGAGAGCAGAAATTGCAAGTTTAATTCTTCTCTCTTACTCTTGAGAATTTGAAGACTTTTTATTATGAATTAGTAGCATAATTGCATGTTGAAGTGGATGGGTAGTTAAATTAAAAGATATTTTGAAATGGTGTCTAACTTGGTGTGGTGTCCAGTTTGGTGTAGAATTATATTAGAGAAGAAAGAGAAGAAAAAAAAGAAAAAAAGCCAAGAAAAATCTCTCTCTTAAGCTGGTGGAGCGGGGTACAATGGGATGCCTCATCAAAGTAGGCGAGTTGGTTGATATGGTGAGAGCTCAAGAAAGGTGAAAAATCACCACATAGTAAGGGTATGGTCGAGTAGTAAGTGTAGAGATAGATATGTCCTAACAGACACCTAAGCTTGCAAGGAGTAATAGTACTAAAGAGCCCCATACTAACACAGGCAGCTCTAATGAGGAACAGTAGCAAGTTTCATGAACAAGAAATCTTCATATTCACTAACTAATAACTGAACTGGTAGTAAGAAACAAGTGTGTAGAAAAGAGCCATTGTGCGTGAAGGTAATAAGCAAGAAGCAGGGGCTACAGGTGGTTTATATAGCTCAAGGATAGTAGCTTTGGGGTGGTTTGCGCCTCGGACCAGAACAACCTTTGTCCTAATGAGGTACTGGAATCCCCACTACACTGGTGTCTATTTAATAATAATATAAAGCTAGTGAGAACAATAAAGACTCTTTATATTTTATTATATTATTAAACTCTGTTGTATTGTTATATTATTAAAGTTGTATTAATATCACATCTCTAGTAAGACTGTACTCTTTTTCTTATAAGAAATTATAAGAAAACTTTTATTTTTTCTAAAAGTTTTTTTGTTTTTCTACTTATAAAAGTCTTTAATAAGATAGCTATCTCAAGAAACCAAAACTTACAAGACAGGAAAATTTGTAAAATTTGCTTATAAATCTCTTACACAGATAAGAATTTATCTGTAACATTTTATATAAATAAGAACTTACCACAAATCTCTTATATAAATAAATAATATAAGAATTAAAAGTCTTGACTTGTAAGTTATTAAGAGTTGTATATGTTCTTATAAGATACTAAGCCACATGCTTACAAGCATATATAAAAAACTGTTACTGTGTAAAGCTCTTGCTAAAAGTTAGTGACAATCTTATTTACAAGTTATATATAGTTGTTAAAATATCAGATCTTTTATCTTATATACTATTTTCTATTTATATTTCTCTGAAGATTTATTGTTACACTAATCTACATGTATAATTCTCATACTTTTTGTGAAATATTTTTTTATTAAAGTTAGTATATTTTAATCTTACTATTAAGTTCTCTTTTTTTACAGCTTTTTATCTTATAATATTTAGTACAATAGCTATATTATTCTAATACTTTGTAATAAGTCTCTATATATCTGTATCTCTAATATCTAAAGCAGTGCTTAAGTTTATAATTCTAATTACAATAATTATAGACAAAGATTTGTGCTTTAAAGATAATTTTATTATATATTATATAATCTGCATCTTTTTTTAAATTATACTACTGCTGATAAGATTTTTCTTTTATTTTTTAAATTTCTTTTAAACTAGTTTAAATAAATTATTTTAAACTTATTAAGAAAGAGAATATCTTTTCTAATATTATTTTTTAAGATTATAAAATTTGTGATATTCATTTGTATTCTGAATCTATAGATAATTATTTTATGTATTAGTGTTTGTATATATATCTTCTTCTCTAACTACTTTGTTATTCTTATATTAAATTAGTTTCTTAGTTTTTTTCAATTACTTATGTAGAGAATTATATTTCTATTAAAATATTTTTTAACTGTAATAATTTAAATATTCTTCAAATTTATTTTCGTATTTTCTTTAAATATTATATTAATTTTCTTCTTGATCTTCTCTGTTATTACCTTTTTTATTTCTGCTGCTGAGTCTAGCTTTTTTAATTTTACTAGAATTTTATATTATTTTATTATAAGTTATGATCCAGAGATAGATATTATCATCTGAGTATTCTTTATTACTTGTGTATATATTTATATTAATATCTTGCTATTCAGAGCTGATAGTAGATTTTTAATCTGAATTATATTCTCTCTTATCTGACTTTATATCTTTCTTATCACATTAATCTTAGCTGCTAGCTTTCATGTTATTAATATATTCTTGATCTTCTCCATATATAACTTTATTACACTATCTAGCAGAGCTTTTATTATAATTATAATAAGTTGCTATTCTTGTCTAACATATTTAATTAGAATTTCTCAATAGCTTTGATATCTGCTTGTATTTGAATTACATGATTGTGGATGCTTTGAGACTGGGAGGCCTATCTGAGAGACAGTTTGGCTGCTTGCCATGCTTTTCTTAGTATTAGGCAATATCTTGAGCTCTGGCAAGCAGATTAAGCTACTGTGTGAGCTGGATAGAAAGGTGGTTGTGGAGATATTTCAAAAATTAGGTTCCAACAATATTGAGGTAGTTTTGTGGATTACATTAGATCTAATTCAAGATTACAAATCATTGTCAACTTTCAAATCACAGTTGGTTTTCAATTAATTTTCAAGAACTACTGGAGAGTTCATATGAAAGCATGGTTTTATTAGGTGATGAGAAACAAATGAAACAGAAAAGTGTATGGGGTACTTCACATGCAAAATCTAATGACTTGTGAAGAAACTCCATTTTTTGATCTGTTATTCATCTTTTTCAAGATCTTTAGGACTTGGATCCCCGATTCCATCCTCATTGATTGCAAATAAACAATCACTTTCTGGCAAACATGGGCTATCATAAATCTTACAAATCCTAGTTTCTCCTCTTCCTTTTTTAAGGCTTAAACGGGTTGTGCTTGCATGTGCTATTATATTTCCTCCAATGGGCTTTTTCGGGTCAGGATTAAACATCGCACTCGGACCGCCTTCAACTTGGGCAACGACCTGATTGGTGATAACGACAGCAACTCCGAATTCATCAGCCAGGCGCTGCAATGTTCGCATAAACCGAGCGAGATGAGTCTGCCGCGATGAAAGTTCTCCTCTCCCACTGAAATCTGTTCTGTACAGCGATGTCGCTGAATCCACAACTAGGAGCGAGAACCTGGTCTCACACATCATCTGAGAAGCCTGGTTGAGTAGTTGAAGTTGATGATCAGAATTATATGCTCGAGCATAGGCAACATTATCGAGCACCTCTTCTCCAGCCAGGCCGTAGCGCTGTGCTACCGCCAAAAGGCGAACTGGGCGAAAGGTTCCTTCGGTGTCGATGTACAAGCATTTGCCTTCCCCTCCACCCATGTCAAAGGGCAGTTGGCATGTAACAGCCAATGTATGACAAATTTGGCTCTTTCCTGTCCGAAATTCACCAAAGATTTCTGTTATCGAGCCAGTTTCTACCCCCCCGGCAAGTAACGTGTCAAGTTGTCTAGAACCTGTAGTGATGCATATCAAATCAGCTCTTCGAGCATGCATTTCTGTTGCTGTCGTAAATCCCATGGGAACAATCTTTGTTGCTAAACAAAGGACACGTCAGTGGCATTGAATTGTCAGCGTGTTCAAGAATAGAAAAACCTTCTGCTAATATTTTAGCAGCCTTCTGCTCTGATATTCCTTTGATTTGCTCCAGCATTCTCTTTGGTCTGTACTATTATCAGTAAGTTTTGCAAAGCGAAGGGGAATGAAGATAGTATACGTGTATGCCACGGCCTCGACTGTATGATACCCTCCATCGATCAACAATTTGATATCTCGTGCAGTAAGACCATTCACTCCCTGACACATGAACTCAGAAATTGGCCTTCTAATACCTATATGAAAGGTGTATACCTCAAGAGCAGAAAGTGGAGTGGGTGCTCCAGGGGCATGGCAATCCCCATCTTCATAACCATCAAGTTCAGCTTCCGCCCCCATTATTGAATATATTAGTTTCAACTGTGTTGAGCAATAACGGCTTCGAAATTATGGACAAGGTTGATTTTGGATCGAGATAAGGACTGGGTATCCTAAAGTAAATGAGATCACTCAGCATAGCTCTGTTCAAGGAGTAAAAACAATAGGGAATTGACTTCAGAGTATGGAGGTGTGGACCAAAAGTCTTTGAGCCCGCTAATGTTTCCGACCACCCAACAACTTTTACCACCCCAACAACTGCAATTTCAAAATCCAATCCTCAATCTTCCAAGTGCAATAAAATGGTTAACAAAGCTGCAATTAAGCAATAAGTAATTTAGCATCTCAAAAACTTTTAAATTATAGATCTACAGCTTTAAAACATAAAGTAAATAAAACAACTACACTTATATAATAATTTAAAGACTTATAAGTTATAAATAATCCTATAGTTAAAGTATTACAGACTTGGAAGAAATAAACCAATACAGAGAAAGTGATTAGACAAGGTAAAAGACTAATTATAAAGCAGATGGAATCAAGTCAAGTTATGTAATAGAATAGCTATAATAGCTGCAATAGTACAAAGTAAGAGTGAGTAGATTTATTCAAGCTATAATCACTTGTAATAGCTTAATTAATTAATTAATAATTTATTATAATTTGATTATAGTAACTACTCAGAGAAATTTTATAAGTCATTATATATTACAAATAGTATATAATATTAATTTCAAGAAAAAATAAAAATTCTTGTAGCAATGTAATACAAATTAAAAGAAAATAAGGTTAATATATTTGAGAAAGCCACTACCTAGTGACTATTTTAGTATATTTCAGGAATAAAACTAATTATTTTAAGCTTAATTTAGTTTTAAAAATAAAACTTAAAGATAGGTTATTCAAGCTATACTCTATACTATATGAAAAAAGATACCATCCTGAAATCTGAAGAGAAGCTACTGAAGTTATTCTAAAGAAACCAAACAAAAAAGCTTCAATACTAAAATCTTACAGAATTATCTCTCTTCTTAACTGCTTGGGAAAAGTTATAGTGAGAGTTATTACTTCTAGACTTTCTTATTAAGTTTTCCAAAATAAACTACTATACTTTAATTAGTTTGAAGGTAAGAAGCAATGCTCTGCTATAGATACTGTAATGAGCTTGGTATATAATATTCAACTAGCAAAAGACAATAAATTGGTAGTCTCAGCTCTTTTTATTGATATAAAAAAGCATTTAACTATATTTTATTAAATAGACTTTTAAAAGTCTTCTCTGATTTGCAACTATCTAAATTACTAACTATATGAAATGTTTATTTTATGCAAACTAGAAAAGTCCAACTAGTTTTTAATAGTGAGAAACAACAAGAAAAGATATTTATAAATATTAAACTCTCTCAAGATTCATCTTTATTCTCAATACTATTCTCTATATCTACTATATTTCTCTTTAAGAATGATAAAAATTTAGATTGTAAAAATATCAGAATCTCTAGTTATATAGATAATACTGGACTTATTATCTTCTCTTTCTCAATAAAAGAAAACTGCTTTAAATTAGATAAAGCTTTACAAGTAATATCTAATAGACAAGATTCTTATGTGATTCAGTTTGATATGGAAAGAACTAAGTTAATTCACTTTATAAAGTTATTTAGTGAAGATAACTCAGTTAAACTATATGATTAAGTCTTTAAATTAAAAAAGCTAGTTAGATGGTTAAGTATTTAGCTTAATAATACTCTTACTTTCAAGAACCATATTGAAATCAAGATATCAGCTGCTGAAAAAGTTCTTAATTAAATAATTAGACCCTTAAATACTGAAAAAGATTATATCTTTCAAGCTATGAGACAACTCTATATAGCTTGTATTACTTTAGTAGCTGATTATAATGTCCAGATTTGGTAGAAGAATTAAATAAATTTACTTAATAAGTATGAGAAACTTCAAAACTCTGCTTTAAGAAAGATTCTAGAAGTATTTAAAATCTCTTCAGTATATGCTATAGAAATTAAAGCTGCTATTTCTTTTACTAAAGTAAGACTTAATAGACTATATAGAAACTATACTTATAGACTATTAAAAATACTAAAAGAATATGCAATCAGAGAAAGAGTATCTTTTAGCTTTCTATCTTATAATAATAATGTTGATCTTGATTGAGAAAGGCCTTTATATTGAAATCAATTAGAATCAAACAATAAATATATTAAATAAACATCAACTAAAAGAAAAAGAAAAAGAAAAAGAATTAAAAAACAAAAAAGATATTCAAGTTAATTATTCAGAGTTTGTTCAATGATTTCAAGTATATTATCTTCTCTAAAAACAGAGAGAATTAAAGCAAAATAAAATGCATCTTGATCTGAAAATCTAGTTGATTTTGTGATCTGAAAATTGGATTGCCTGAGTCCTCTGAACTAAAGAGAACTGAGCTATCTACATATATATAACTGTAAGCTGATGTTGAAAGATATTAGAATCTATTAAGGTTTGTAAGCTCTGATAAAGTGTAATTAAGAGAAGAAATATACTATATAATACAATATAGATGTAAGAAAACCACATCCTCCCCCACCTAATTAGACTTGGTTCTCCAAGGCCTATTAAATATAGCTTGGTAGTGATAGATGTGTTAGAAAGGTTCCAATAAAAAGAAGTTTATAGAAGGTTGATACATGCACATATTTGCTGATAAAACTTATTAATAAGTGTTATTGTAGGTGTTGCTGTTGCTTAGTGAGAAAATTTTTCCATCTGATAATGTGTGTGAAATATTAATAATATTTTCTCTCTTTCTCTTTCTTTTTTTCTTCTTTCTCTTCTCTTATTGCATTTTCTCTTTTCACTTTATTTGTTGTTATTATCATGTATATTGTTGCAATTCTATATTTATTCTTAGTTATAGAAGTTTCAATCATAACTGGATAAACTGCTTATAGTGTTTCTTCTTTCTTCTGTACTTCCACTAATAAAAATAAACAGAAATTATCAAAATTTATAACAAAAGATACTACAGCAGACCAGCTGTTTACTTTTTTGTGTGCAACACTAGCTTTTACAAAAGCAAAAAGTTTCTCAACAATAAGATACAAGTATAAGTTCAAACATCATTAATTAAAGTCCTATAGTGAGTTTCTATCTGGCTCTTCTTTGTTGTTGTTATCTAACATAGGTATTATAGGATTGTCTGTGCCAGAACTTAAGAGAAAATAAAAGATTTAAGATAATAGCAAATCTCTTGCTAAAAGTTCTATTAAATTCTTTGTCAAGACTTCTGTTAAACATTCTGCCAGTAGAATTAATCTTATTAAGACTGTCAAGAATAGTATGGCAGAAGATTTTACTTTTTCTGCTAAAGTATCTTAGAAATAATCAGAAGTCTTTTCAGATCTTCTAAAACTAATCTTAAATCTCTTTTATATTAAAGAGTTAGAGAAGAACACTGAAAGTATAGCTCAGACTATGACTGCAGCTCTCTCTAAGACTGAGTTTTTACATTTTCTAGAGGGGGCAGATCTATCAGTTGCAACATATTCTTATAGTGTGAAATTATGATTAAAGAAATAGAACCCTCATCTACTTAATCTCAAGAAGAAGTTCACTATTAAAATATTCAGTTACTTTATAAATAACTATATTACTCTGATGATTCCAAGCACAACCTTTCATGCTACCTTACCAGATTATGAGAACTTCTTATTTATTTATTGTTAATAGTTTCTTATTGTTGACTGATTATAGATATAATATATTCTGTACCCAGCTCAGAAGTTCTTGTCTATAAGATACTTATCTGTCAGATCTTACTCTTGTATTACTTCTTTGTTTTGAGATTGACCCAGGCTGCTATCACTATCAGTAGCTTGAGCATCTGCTATCTGATAGAATGGCAAAGCAGTCCTGTCAACAATAGATCCTTGAATATAAAGTCTATTGAAAAGGGATGTCAAATGAACACAGTAATAATTTATACTTAAGACTATACCAAGCATTATTCTTGCACTGCCTGCATAAAAGATAATAGTTTCTTTTTGCAATATATTATTGTTAAAAATACATCTGATCTTATGATAAGAAAGAGTATCTGTATGTTCTGTATCTGATCTAACTTCTTTCATGCTTGCTTTCTATATTCTGAAGTTATCAGATATTAGTTTTCTTCTCTTCAGAAAGTTCTTGGTACTTCTTTGTGTATTCTCTCTGATCAAAAGACTAAACTTGTCACTGCTCTCAGTTTTAATAAAAAAGAGTCAAAATCTTCTTCTGTCTCTAAATAAGTTTCTCTAAAGCTATATCTCTATCTTCAGAGGTTTGTTTTTTTCTTGTATAACATTAAAGACAATATTAAGGTGTTGTATGATGCCTGTACTGCTGTCCAAATCATTCTACAAAAGATTAATAATTAACTTAAGAAGCTCAGTAACATTTCAGAGAAAGAGTCTGAAGATTTAATATTTAATTATAGATAATAGATCATGCTATTTTCTTTCTTATTCTCTTTTAAAATTATTCTCTTTATTTTTTGTGCTCTTCAGAGCTATTTCTTTGCTTTGTGCTCTTCAGAGTTCTATTTCAATATATTCATTTGTAATTAGTCAATAAAAATCAATAGAAATTTTTCTTAAAGATTACCAGTATCTTGTATTCTTTCTGTTATTTATCATGGCTCAAACATTCAACTAGTAATCTTTATAGTGATTATAAGTCTTGACTAAATCATAACAATGAAGAGTTCATTAAATAAGTCAGTAGACTAGTATTCACTTTCTTTCTTGTCAGATTCTACACTATCAGAGATGTTTCTCTGCTCACTATCAGATTTCTTCTGTTCTAATTCTGATAAATGTTCTGACTTATTATTCTCATTCTTGTGAGAACAAGCTTTATGTCTACTACTCTTTCTGCAAGAAAGCTGGTTACTACCAGATGTATTATCATCTTTCTATTGACTCTTATTTCTAGTAATACTATACATAACCACTCTCTTCTTTCTCTCAGACTCTGACTTATCATCTGATTCACTCTCAAGCTTTTTTTATTTGTACTTGATAATTATAGACAGCTTCTGATAAGAAGTAACATTGTCTTTATATATGTTCATAATGTGTCTTATCTCTACAGATCTTTTAACT